AACATTACTTACTAACTTTTTCATTATTTAGGGCATTATGTTGAGTGAATTTTTTGATTAGAAATCTGACACGTTGATAAGCAATTTCACGTTATACTACCGTAACACAGACAGTATGGCTGATGCTGCTGCCCATGATGTACATTTGTTACCATTAAAACATTAGTTTGCTAAACTCTGAAAGCGGGGCAGATTTTAGCCTGGAGCAAACATTGCTCTGCATATGTCCTAGATTTCCAAACAGATTTTTGCTTATTCACAGAGGTCGTGCATGAGTTTTCACATGTTTTCTACTGATGCAATGCAGAAACGGTGCAGTTGAACCTTTTTCTATGTACTTACATGGTTTATTCCAAGGAGCATATTTTATTTGTTTTTGAACCGCTGGTTGATGGAAGTGGGTCACAGGATGCGTTCACACTTATTGGTCTAGGTCAGGGGTGGCCAACCAGTCACAGACTAAGAGCCATTTTTTTTACTGTGTTACAGCAAAGAGCCACATCATACAAATACGCACTACATAAACATCACCCCATCCCGGTTTGGGGGCGCTTCCACCGCTCGCTTTAGCTGCTCGCCGGTACTTTTTATTAATGGTTTGGCCCTGGTTCTAACCGGGCGAGGCGATACCAGAACAATATCACGTCAGCGAACATCAATTATCATTCCGAAATGAAAAAAGCAAGTTTCAAACCAGTATTCAGCAGAAACACAACTGTCTTTATCGAACCATGATTCACTCTCTGACTGCATTTAGCAAAAGATATAGATTTTACACATAACACCAACACCACTTTAGCTGATTTAGAACCACAGACACATGCTCAGTGTAAGACCAGATACTTTTGAAGACAGACACTCACCAGGCAGAGGCTTATCTCCTGGTGTAGCTGGTGTTAGCTGGTTTTAGCATGTTAGCTGGTGTTAGCCGATGTCCGTAAATTTAATCCATTTGTTCAAACCACCTCCAGACTTTTCGGTTCTGCCTCTACTTCTGCTGCTGTGATCTTTCATTTCACGGTTGTCAGCTTTTTAACTTTTCTCTGCATTGTGATGTTCGTGGGAATCATTCTGCTCCGTCCTTAGCGCTAGCTCCACAAACACCTTCTGGTTTCTGGTGGAACCATCGAGCTCACGCTGGTGTCCTCTTCTCAAACTGAGGAAGGTGCTTCCCTCATCCAGCGACCAAGGAATTGTTTTCCGTACGGACGCCATGGGTCGAGGCAACGTGTTGTTTGTTATGATATTTGCACCAGCTGAGGCAGCAGCTGCAGAGTGATTGACAGCGCATCTGACCAATCAGAATTGACGTTCGCCGACGTCAGATTGTTTTGGCGGCCCGGCTGGTGGAGTGAAGTCGGCCTTTACTATGGGTCAGAACTACATAGAGAATGAATGGCTGCGCCACCACCGAGGCGTTTTTGACGCTTGTCGTGTGGAAGCCCGAGAGCCGCACGGAACCAGCCAAAGAGCCGCGGGTTGGCCACCCCTGGTCTGGGTCATTTAACTGGTCCATGCCTGGTTCATTTAGGGAAAAAGAATGTTTCATAGATCGGTTTCAAAAAAGTGTGAATGCGCATTTAAATGTAGGCCTGAGGTGACCTGGCCTAAAACTGACTACTGACACCACAAGCACTGACGCAGCAATGGTATAATTATCTGGCAACTATCTTAATGTAGATACAAGGTAATAGATCCTGAAGCTCCATGTTTGCACTGCTGTACGTCTTTGTGTACGAGTGCCCAATGACCACACAAGAAACCTGAGAGGGGTCTGCACCAGAGAGCGGTGACCTCTTTAAAACTGAAATTCCAATAATGAGAGTCACTCCAATCAACTGTTTCCACTGCACATAACGTGGACATGATGTTTTAATCATGTGTTGACCATTGTGGGGGTGTCGCCACATTTCTATAACCACCTTCCTTTAGCACTTAGGGACAAATCCACAAATCACTTTACACATGACTGCTGCAAGTATTCACACTTCTGACATAAGTAGGCTCTGCATGGGGTAACATTACATCAGTACACTTTAACGCTTTTACATTTTATCACATCATCAAGCCACATTGGCAAGTTGGAGAAGTTAAAGCTGGAGTACCTTACTAGGAAACCACTAGTTCCTAGCTTTGAAAACTCTTTGGTTCTATCACTATATTTATCACATCTTTTGTCCAGCTTTTTCAGTGAAAAAGAGAGTACCAGTCCCCACTCAGCCACTCAGCTCTCAGTATGTTAAAGATAGCATGTTTTCTACGCTAAAGACAGTGATTCGTTTGCATAATGTGACTTAAATCTGAGATACCCTGTTTAAAAATACATTTTGTTTGTCCCTTAAAGAGTCTCCACCACAGCCTGCGGTAGGGGTGGGAACCTCAGGGTACCTCACGATACGACACGATACGCGATACAAAGCTCACGATAACGATTATATCACAATATGACGATTATCAATACATTGGTCAGAAATATACTGTTATAGAAAACTTGAACACAAAATAGTTATAAGTGTAAGTTATTAACTAATTCTCAACTGTGGATTCAAATACAGCACATATGGTCTGTTGGCAGCAAGGTCAGCTGATAGATGGAGATGTGTTTCTTTGGCAATATCTGGGTCAAAGAACAATATGTTCAGGTCAAAGCAGATTATTACGAGATGCGTAATGTAGCCATATACAAAGTATTGATACTATTTAAAAAAATAAAATAAAATCTTTTCAAAAAGTAGCTAGAAAACGAGACTGATAACACAAGTTGACAGCCAAAAAATGGTCAGAGGTTTCTCAACTGATTTAGACTATTTTGGTGTTCTGAGTCCGAATATCACATGCATTTTGCTCTATCAGGTCAACTTTTTGAGATACAGCCATAGTGTTACGGATTACGTACGTCTACGTTATTATGAATTCTGCTTATCAAATTTATTTTATTATTTTTTTTATTGAGTAAATAAAAACTGAATGACTTTGGATACGTAAAAAATATTTCTGTAGCAAAAAACTCTGACCTGATTGAGCAAAACCAAGGTCATTTTCGGACTCAGAGCATCAAAATTAGTCTAATTCAGCTGAAAAACCCTGGACTATTTTCAAAAAATATGTTTTTGTTACCCAGTGTAATTGATCGCGTGAGAAAGTATCACGATACATCACCATATCGATATATTGTCACACTCCTAGCATGCGGTCTTTATCTTTATTTTTTTAAATGCTTTTTGAATGTTTTTTAACTGTTATTGTTTTAGTGCATAAATGTTTTAAATTGATTTTATGTCATTTTATTGTGAAGCACTTTGGTCGCCTTGAGTGTTGTAAAGGGCTCTATAAATAAAATTGATTGATTGATTTATATTAAAAAAAACACGTTATACTTGGCATCACTACTGGACTCTTAAGGCAGAGATGATTGGCTGAGTGAGAATGGTCCTCTTTTTTTAACTTCTCCGCCTGAAAAGCGGATGGAAATATGTGACCAAAAATACATGAATGTGAAACTGTTTTGAGAAATAAGACCTCATTTTATTTCATAGTTCTATTTTTTGTGGTTTTCAAAGTTAGGCACCCCATCTTTAAACAAGAGCGAGACTTGTTTCTTTATGAAGAAAAACTCAAACTTAGGTAACCCAGCTTTAACCAGCCATTGGAACACATAATAATAGGTTATGCATGTATGAAGACTTAGAATCTATTAGACTGAATGACATTGTGAGTTTAAAACTAATTGTTAACATTGTCTGACATTTTGTTTATGCTTTTTTTAGTGCGGTGGTCCTAAACCATCTCAAGGTCAAAGTCAGCGGCCAACCAAAAAGAAAGAGAGAGTGATGATAGCGGAGGTGACAGAGGGGAAACGCCTCCTAAAATAGTCTTGCTTCTTTGTAGAGCCTCAGATCTCTTGCAGCAGAATGAACGGCATGAGGGGGGTTCACCGCGGGGCTGAAGACACGGCGGGGGGCACTGTCACTCGAGGGGCTACAGTTATTATACTCTTATCCATGACTTTGTGCGATAGTCGCCTGAAGCGGACTCGCACACAGAGCAGCACGCAGATGTTTTCCTGTTTGCCTCGTCTATTTAAAGGCCTCACAGCGGAGCAAACACATGCACCAGTTTCACTAGTGCATTCTGCGACCTGTATAAATAACACTGGACTTATACCCGTGTCAAATAGCTGCTAAATCCCTGCGCTAACATGGTCTGTTTTTATTTGTGAAGCGCGCCGTGCTGTTGACGAAATGTTTTTCTGTGCTGGTGACAGGTTTAGTCTGTGCTGTTCGTTTTTTTATTTTATGTTTTGCTTTTATTGTTTTTACAAAAGAACGTTCATACAACAAACAACAACTAGATGTATACAGTCAATGGGAGAGACACATGATTTTAAGGGATACAACAGATAATGTGTGTGTGTGTGTGTACAAAATGACTGATCATAAACTCATAACACTGAATAAATAATAGTCATTTTTAACCTAATAATTTTGCAGTTATGTAAAGAAATAGTAATAAATGCATAATGAGACAAACAGATATCAAACGGCCACAAGCTAACTATGGATGAAGTGTTGAATTAAGACTTATCAGTGGCAGTAAAAAAAAGATAAATCCTGAACAGAACATCCAGGTCTCTGTTGAACGCATGTACAGTAAAGGGCAGAGGACCAGCATGCACAGAGGGAACATGTTGTCATCAAATATAAAAAAGACAATAGCACATAAGCAGCCAAGGCATTCTTCAGATTCCCTCCATGTTATACGACTAACACAAGCCCCTAGTGCCCCCAATAACATTCTGTTTCAAGTGCAATCATGGCTCAAGTGTAGTTTGCGCAGCGTGAACTTTCAACATGTGTTTCGTAACACTTCAAATCTAAAGATAAATGGATTTGTCTATGTGAGGATGCTACAAAGGAGATAATGTTACAGTCTGTCTGATTTTGACGAGGATTTCCTTTGAACCACTTTTGTCTGACGTTCATGTGTTTCTCTTTTTGTAGTGTATAAGTCGCCCGAGTATGAGTCACTCGGATTTGAGCTCACTGTCGAGCGCATGGTGTCCATCGGTTATCCCCAAGAGCTGCTCAGCTTCGTCTACGATCCGTCCTTTCCCACCAGGTGACAATATGCACTTAGATATTTGCCCAGAGACTGTCTCATGGTTTTGCTTTCTACATTAAACTGATTGGCTGTCACTGCTCTTGCTCACAGAGGCCTTGTGTTCGACACCATGTATGGAAACCTGCTGAAGGTGGATGCGTACGGTAATATTCTTGTCTGTGTACATGGATTCAACTTTCTCAGAGGGTTAGTATCATCTCTACTTATTGTTGCGTCTTTATATTTCAGTATGACAAAAATCTGTTCTTTCTTTTTTCAAGTCCCGAGATCCGAGAGCGCTACCCTAATAAATTCATCCAAAGAGATGATACGGAACGTTTTTATATTCTAAACACACTTTTTAACCTCCCAGGTAAGACGGGCCTTTTGGAAGCATATCTTTGATATTGAATGTTTCATGTATTAATACATTTGTCTGTTTAATGACCTGGCAGAAACCTACCTCTTTGCTTGTCTTGTGGATTTCTTCTCCAACTGTGACAGATATGCAAGGTATTAACATTTCTGTATTGACTTAAACCAGTTGTGCAACATGATTCTAGGCAGTGTGATGCAAAGACAGATGTGGGACAGGATCAGGCACCTCAGTGTGGGAGGGTCTGGGGGTTTCACCTCTTTAATACATAACTGTGGACAGGAATTGGATAAATGTGAACAATCAAACAGTAAAGGCGTGACGCTAGTTTACGAATAATGTTGCATTACTTAATACGCTAAATTATTATATTACATTGAAAGACAGTTGCAATTGTGATCTGGAATGGCAGCATGTCTTTTGTCCTCTGTTGGTCTTTTAGGGGGAGAATGCTTTCCTGTTTGGCTGGGGACCCCTCCAACAAGGGAAGGCTTTCCCATTTAAAAGCAAACAACAAACAAATGTCATGTTTTTAAGGAGTTGTTCAGGTTCTGGTTTGTCTAAAGGCTGTAAATGTGTGTGTCTCTGCTCTTCTGCAGCTGTGAAGCAGGATTCAAAGACGGGGATCTCTTCATGTCGTACAAGAGCATGTTCCAGGATGTGCGGGACGCAGTGGACTGGGTCCACTTCAAGGTAATGTGAGATCTGATTTATAGATATAGAATATGGAGGGGAATCACCCATTATTATTTTGTTCATCTTATTGATCTCAAGACAAAACACATTTTTTAAACTTACTCAAAAATAGATCCACAGGAAAATATTTGGTTTTCAATTTGATAAACATTTGATTATTGTTACTTCCTAATAAATACCCTGATGATGTTTTTATTATTAAAATATTCGATTAGTTGTGATTAACCGATCCATGAATTTGGTCTGCTGCGCCTCATCCTCACAGGGCACATTGAAGGAAAAGACTGTGGAGAACCTGGAGAAGTATGTAGTGAAGGATGTAAGTATTTGGCATTCAGGAAGCACCCTCAGCTCTTGAATCCCAGCGCTTTAGCCCCTCTTTTTGTGTCTCTTTTCCCACCAGGGAAAGCTGCCTCTTCTCCTCAGTCGAATGAATGAAGTTGCCAAGGTGTTCCTGGCCACCAACAGCGACTACAAATACACTGAGGTGGGCTTTTTACTTCCACTTTAGTTCACCCAAATGGGCCTGTTCAGTACTTATGGTTTTCTCTTTCCAGAAAATAATGACCTACTTGTTTGACTTCCCGCATGGATCCAAGGTAAATATTACATCCTATAGGCAATAACAGATAAGGATATGTAAAGGTCTCTGTATATTATACTGATTTTGTGTACTGTATTTTAACAATTGTGTACTCTAGCCTGGTACAGCACACCGACCCTGGAAGTCCTACTTTGACCTGATCCTAGTTGATGCCAGAAAGCCTCTGTTTTTTGGGGAGGGCACAGTGCTGAGACAAGTTGATACGGTGAGCAATAAAAGTTGTAGAGAATTGGCAAATGTGATCATTTATCTGTATATTTTTTTCATCAGGCAAGTGGACGTCTAAAGATAGGGACATATACCGGGCCTCTGCAGCACGGCATTGTCTATTCTGGAGGTAAGTACATTTTGTCTCCCATCACTTTGCCGATGGGAACTGCATTCACAAATCCCCCTTTTCCTAACTCCTCTAGGTTCTTCAGATATAGTTTGTGACTTACTTGGAGCTAAAGGCAAAGACATTATATACATCGGGGACCACATCTTTGGTGATATCTTAAAATCGAAGAAACGTCAGGGCTGGAGAACGTTCCTAGTCATTCCGGAGCTTGCACAAGAGTTGCACGTATGGACAGACAAAAGCCGTAAGTCACTCCCTTTGTAAGAATGTAAGAAACAAACAAGGTAACAACATTCAACATTCAGTAGTTTTGCATGACTGTTTAAGGAGATTGCCTTCTTCTTGTCTAAACATGATTCAGCTAACATTGTGCATTGACAGCTTTTCACTGATTGCCACAAACTCACACTGGTTTTCTTTTATAGCTTTATTTGAGGAGCTGCAGGGTCTGGACATATTCTTGGCAGAGTTGTACAAGTAAGTCTGAGTTTTCTATCTCAGGCCCTGTCCACACGTACCTGGGTGTCTGATAAAACGTACAGATTTTTCCACTTTTTTCACTGAAAGTTTATGAGGGTCTTGGAAAACTCCGGCCAAAGTGAAGATTTACGTGGGGTTTTCTTGCGTGTCGATGCAAAACCGTAGTCCATAATGCAGCAAAAGCGGCCGGGACACAGAGAAAAAGTGCTGCCGCCTTTTGTTTTCACTAAGATAACGCAAACTTGAGGTGCGGCTGCTTACTGTACGTAAAAACATACATTTGCGATGAATACAGACACATGTTTGTATAGTTCATGGCCTCAGCTGTTTCTCATGTGTCCCCTTGTGTTACTTCAGACTGATATGTACTTTTCCTGGATGGTATTTGCCTGTGCTCACGTGTTCAATGAAGAGCAAGGGGATCAACAGGCCAAAGTCTAAACGGTTGAACTGTAGGCTTCCCCTGATAACTGGGTTTACCTCTGCTAATTATAACCTGGCTGGCACGGCTCAGCGTTGCACCACCTCTTTGACACATCATGTCAGCGCCCACCCGTCTACTCCCGCTCCCCATGTCGTCATCGCATTAGTATCTATGCTTATCATTTATCTGCCCTCTTTCACAGACATTTGGACAGCAGCAGCAACGAACGGCCGGACATCAGCACCATCCAGAGAAGAGTCAAGGTGAAAAAAAGAGTCTGTTTCTATGAAGGCAGAAGCATACTCAAACTATCTATTGGCACTGCTTACATCACTATTAGAATTAGATACTGTAGATAGATAGATAGATATTTGATTGATCCTACATAGGAAAAATTCAGGTGTCCAGTAGCAGCAGAAACAAATTCAAACATACAAACAAAACAACAAAAAATACATCATTCTAAAAGTAGCTAACAATAGCAATAAGGTCCCAGCAGCATTAGTAGACTGAAAAAGCAAATTCACTCTGCTTAAAAGCGTTTTGTGTTGCTCTGTGCAGGAAAGGCTCTTTACAAATACAGATTGATTGAGTGAGACACAATACTGTATGCGCAATATTTTCCATTCCATAGAAATGCTGCAAAGTCCAAAACAAGTGTAGTTTGGTCATGTAAAAAAAGCCCCTGGAGAAAACATGTAGGTCCTGAGTTGCTCGACCTAAAGCAAAGAAACAAGTTCCACATCGACATCTACATCTAAGCCCTACTGTTTGATCGTGTACACAGCTGAGGAATAGTTACCTACCATTAGTGATAATAGATTAAAACATTCAGTTTAGCTTTGTAGAGACACATCTAGCTACTTTGTGAAATTGGTTCTCATGGTTGCTTTAGTTAGTCCTGTATGGGATTCTAGTTGTTAGCTCATTTGTCATTCTCGTTAATGCGTCTGGAGTTGACAGTTTGGAAAGCACAAAAAACAAATACAATCATAGTCGCATTTTTTATCGGAAAAATCCTATATTTTTACGATATTGTACAGCTCTAGTGAACATCTACGCAACCCTCGTACCAACACACCCAAATATGTTGACACTAGTGGCTGTCATGTATTCTTTTTTGTTTGTGTGTGTGTGTGTGTGTGTTTTTTGTGGTATGACCTTAAAATGCTCATATATGTCAGTTTCTGTTCCTCTTTCAGAAAGTTACTCATGACATGGACATGTGCTATGGCATGATGGGAAGCCTGTTTCGCAGCGGCTCTAGGCAGACGCTTTTCGCCTCCCAGGTCATGAGATACGCAGACTTATACGCAGCCTCCTTCATCAACCTCCTCTACTATCCATTCAGCTACCTGTTCAGAGCGGCGCATGTGCTGGTGCGTACGAGACCAGATTTGTGGCATTGCCTGTCCAAAAGCATTTAACACGGGGTTTAGCTCAACAAAGTTAAGTTTATGTGCCTAAGCATCTGTAGTATATGTAACTAATGGGATTTTACACCTCTCTTTTGTGGAGGAATATAAAATTTTTTTTACACATATTTGCATTTTGGAGTCACAAACTTAACTTCTAGACCCACTCTTGCATGTTTAGATGTACTGGTTAGGACAGGGGAGTCCAAATATATTGATAAGATAAACTTTATTGATCTCACCATGGAGAACAAAAAAACATGTCACATAGATCAATCTGGTCGTGCAAAAAGACAGGAAGTGTGCAAACATGTTAAAGGTTAGAATAGGATTGGTCTCTTTTGTGCAAAATATATTATGTACAATAGAATTAAAAGTGACTATAGCAGTGCGAGTTTTTTCAGTCCTAGTGCAGGTCATCAAAGTGACTTATTGTACAGTCTGACAGCGGTGGGAATGAAGGCCCTTCGGTGGCACTCCTTCTTGCACTGTGGGGGCCTCTCCTCTTCACCAGTTGTTTAGGGGCTGGCAACACGGATTGTGAAACTGTTTTGACTGGATTCGGGCTGTTCTGTTTGTTCGCAGCAAAAGCAACACAAATACAAAAAAAATAATAATAATTGTTTCTATGGAGATGATAACGCTTGGCCGGAAATGTTCATACAGAATCTATCTCAAACATTTCATAACCATAGACTTTAGATTAGACTTAGACAGACTTTATTGATCCACAAGGGAAATTGCGTTGTCACAGTAGCTTGCATAGTATTTCACAATAAAAAAAATAATGTTAAAGTAACAAAAATTCTAAAAATTAGAATAATAATGAGATGATATTTGTGAGAATAATCTGGATAGAAGTACAAACCAGTTATAACTATACAACAGGTCAGATCTATGGAGTCGTGACCCCCTCAGTTTGAAGGAATGTCTTTAAAATGATCATTAAAAAAAACACATTTTTTAAATTATTTTTTTAGATGTTTGGCAGGTAGCAATCTGTCTACTCGAAATCAATCTGAATCTGAATCTAGACAAGTTACTTAATGCAACTTTAACCGTGTATCTGTTGTATCTCTGTAGATGCCGCATGAATCGACCGTGGAACACGCCCACGTGGACATCGACACGGAGTCACCGCTGGCAACACGGAACCGGACACACTGCAACGACTGCAAGGACCTGGACTGCAAACGCAACCAGTTCACTCGCTCCTACAGCGAAATCAAGCCTCCAAACCTGTTCGCCCAGACGCCCCAGGAGATCACACACTGCCACGATGAAGACGACGATGAAGAGGAGGAGGAGGAGGAAGAGGAGGAGGAGGAGGAATAAGCTGGACAGTCTGGTTTTCCATTACATTCACCTCAAACTGTAATTATGAATACAGTATGCACATTAGATATGATCTTTTGGAGACGGTGACTATGCATGCGCGATCACACAGCAGCTCATGGGGTTCCGTCTCATGGCAATCACATGGACGCCATTTTGAAAAGATATACAACTCAGCTGTAAAATGTAATGGAAACAGTCCTAACATTCATCACCTCAACGCCAGACATTAAGCCTTCCATCAAACTCACAGGGCACATTATTAAGCTAGTTTTAGTTTTAGATTTGACTTAGCACAAGCCTCAACACATGAATCAAAGTTGTTATGGGAACAAATACCTTTATCCACACATGTTGTTTTGTTTGTTGTTTGTTGATGCTAAAAAACATTGTTGAGATGTTTGTGAGTTTGTGTGGCAGTCGCATTGCTGCCAAAGATCTGCTGTAGTATAATGTACCTTTCCAAGTAGCACTGCGCTCTTAAAAGACCAGTGTTTCCAGGCAACACTCGGGTGAAGGGGGGATTACCGTGATAATCGCCATGACAACACTGTGTTATGGTAATCTAATGTGGTGATAAATGGAGCTAACATGCAGTATTACTACATGATGTGAAAGCTACATTAAAATACATAGTTAAATGCTATGTTAATCCTGTACTAGAGTAATCTAATGGTTTCCCAGGCATAACTGGATCAAACCGGCTCACGATAGCTGTGAGGTAATCTTGCTAATATCATCGTTTTTACTTTATACCGATTCGTGATGTATACAGTATAGGCTGTATTTTTTTGCGTCAAGTTTGTTTTGTATTTTTGCAATCAGCTAGACTTTTTATAACGCTGTTTTTTTTTTTCTTGGTTAAATCCAATGTTCTCTCAAAGCTGGACCACTGTGATCCGACCGTTCTGTTTTCCAGCTTCAAGTACGATGAGAGATGCATGATTTTGGGGTCTTGGATTTACAGACCCTCTTGACAAAATGCACCAGCAATCCAGCATGATGGTTTTTCTCCCAGATTTTTCCCTCTGGGGTAGACCGTGTGAATACTTTTCTCGCAGCCATGCAGTGATTTGCCTGTTTTTCTGATGCACAATGTTCTTTACTGATGAACTCTTTCCTCTATCCAGGATTAGGATTGACCCAAAAGTGTTTTTTTCCCCCGCAAGATTTCAATCATATTACTTTGGAGTTATTTTTGCTTATATAATACTAGATCTTTAAATGTTGTAATCTATTGCTTCATGCCACAAAAGGGCCGGAACACACTGTCTGTCTGGTTTGAGTTTGATTCCATGTGGAGTGAGGGGACAGTTTTGTTTTTTGTGTGGGACAGTACATTGCAACAGTTTTATCCTCCTTTTGATTATTTGTGCTTTTACTTTTGACTATGACTGGACGTGCTACATGAGGCAGCTGCATTCATACAGTCGACTGTTGGTTCTGTGCACAGTACTTTTTTTATGCACGTCAAATAACAAGCGGATCTTATGTGCTGATATTATGGTGGCATTGGTTTGTCGCTATAGTTTACACATACATACTGTATGACACATGCAAATGTGTATTATCTACTAAGTATGAAGTTACTTATCAAAACTATGGGATTATTTTGATTTTTTTCTAATCTAATGTGTTTTTATTGGTCTTGGTTTACACAAATGTAATTTGACATGTTTTTTTTTTTCATTCAGACATGGATTTTGAATATTTTTTGTTACATTTTGATAACCGAGTTTGGTATTTTAAACGACTTTTTTTTTTTTTATCACAAATGTGTTTGCAAAACCAATTGTGTTAAACGGTTATCCTAGTTTTATTCACAGGACCTGTATTCTTCTGATTTTTCCCTCTCATTGTAAAATGTGATGAAACTATAATGTAAATTAAACTTAGTTTTCCAATTATATCATTGTTGTGTAGTTTGTTTGTGTGAAAGGAAGCAGGTTTACAACTGTTTGTTAATCATTCACTTTTTATTAAACCAACAGCTGGTGGAGGCGTTGCGTCCTCACAGAGAAGCACATTGTCCAGCACATGGTACAGTAGCAGCACTAGGAGGAACAGCAGCGTTTAATGAAGATGACGCTGGTGATTTAGTCACAGAACATTACGGGACAGGATCTGTCAAAGCAGCTCGAGAGGCAAGACCAAACTGTCCTTTATTCAGGCACAACTCTTGTAGCTTATGTGATTGATCCAAAGGCAGATCTGCTGCATAGGAGCACGTCCAAGTAAACAAGCCACATTATTCATAAACAAATCAAACCCATGAGTAGAAATGCTCAGTATGACACTAAACCAAACCTGTGGAAACAGCGCCCACCAGTGGCTGTAAACAGCACTGGAAAATGTTTTAAGGATTTAGTGATTCTTTGCATAGAGCACAACGCTAAGCATATACAGTGCGATTACATGAAATGTTAATAAAGAAGTAGGCATTATGGAATAAAGTTTGGGGAACACATAATATTGTAAAACCTTTATAATAACGTATAAGGCTTACTTCGTTTTTCAAGGGGTTGGCATTCAATTGCATTACATTTAGTTAAATAAAAAACATATTAAATCTATGGCAAATCTTTCTTAGTCTGAATATGTAGCCCTTTGTGGACTGACCACAGAAATAATAGATTTGTCAGCGGCAAATGAGAGATCTAATTTGAGAACATAACAAATAATAAAGTGCATATGACAAGTTACCTGTGGTCAGCATTTATCATTCTATGATGTTTGTGAAAGTGGAGGGAAATACAGAAAGGCACTGATTTTAAAAACAAACAAAAAGTACAGAACATTTAACAGAAATAAAGAGTTTTACTTTTCAGATAAATTACTAAATTGAAATTGGGCCCTTCTTTACAGGATGCATTCTCATGTCCGTATCAATACAATATTTATAAAGAGAAAGCTAGATACATAGTAACTATGTGAACCTGTCATATGCACTTACAGTGACCAATAAGTCTGTATGGGACTGTTATGAATGTCATCAACCTGAATCTTTCAAACTAAAACCATTATTTTAACTGTATTTTCTGTCTTTAGTGTTACTTTTTAGAGCAAGTTGAGACAAAGGCCTTTGTGCTGTTTGTACCAATAGAAGCAGTGATGTCGCACTTAACAGTCCCATTATGCCACACAAGTCAACGTTGACACTAAAATACATGTTTTTACTCAGAAGACTTTTGACAAAGACAATCAGTATAAATATAAATGTAGTTTGTTATAGGTTTATTTATAATCAATGCATCTTGAGTCTCGTTCATGCAACTGAAACATTTCAGGAACAAACAGAACCAAGATATACCGGTTCTGTTCAATTTTCTAGGGATTTTATGGATTTCTAGGCACAGCGGGGTTTGGAGACCTCTGGATTGTATCAAGCCAGGACCTCCAATATAAAGAAATTGCGAGGTCAGAGTGCACGACTGAAGAAAGGTGCCTTGGCCTCCTCAGGTGGTAGAGAAGAATGGGGTGTGAGATTGATAGGTGGATGGGTGCAGCATGTGCAGTGAGGCGGTCGCTGTATCGGACTGTTATGGTGAAGAGGGAGCAGCGTCTGCAGTCAGAGCTTTATCGGACTGTTATGGTGAAGAGGGAGCAGCGTCTGCAGTCAGAGCTGTATTGGTGATGAATCGGAGGTGAAGAGGGAGAATACTCAAAGCTTTGGGTAATGATTGAAAGGTTTCAGATAGCTCCTGGACGCCTCCCTGGGAAAATGTCTCACCTGAGTTATTTTCTGGAAGTGATAAGTCCTGATAGCATATAATGAAACTTCCCTTGTAACAAACTAAAAATAAACACAAACACATTATGGGTCCACACTAGTTGTCTTTGTCAAGCAAATAATATGATTGGTATTGGTTTTATTCCATCGGACAAAATGAAGGAAAACCTAAAAGTTGTACAATATTCATCCCCAACAGCAGCCAATAAACCAATGTATGTAGAGTATTTTTGAATAAGCCTTAGGTTAGTTGTATGTTGCCAAAAGTTTTGGACTTTTATTAAATTGGATTTGACATATTTCTTAAAACATATGCATAGTGGCATAGTATTTGCTCAGAGCTCAGTGACCTCTTCTGCCTGTGGTGACGGGCAACATGAGCTCTAATGGAAAATGGGCTGCTGATACCAGCTTGTGAGTGGCTGTTTTTCAAATCAAAGCTACACATTTATAATATATACAAATATATTTGCCAATTTATAGTAGAGTCATTTTAAAAATAGGTAATCATCATTTAAATAAATGTCATTGCACTTTGTTAAAATAATTACATGATTTTTTTAAAGGCAATTGCGTGATGTTAAGGTGAAAAAGATAATATATCGTAAGCCTGATTTGTGATAATAGTAAAAATAACATCTGCAATATACATTCTGTAAAAGACCTCTGCATTTACATAAATTCAAAGTTTCTGTCCTTGTTTATAAGATGTGTGTACCACACACAGCTGTGTGCTCATGCGAGTGCATGCTATAGTTCATTTCATATCGGTTCTCCACGCATACATATATACACATAACATTATAAAATAAATAAATATGGAAAACATTATTGGTTTGTGGTTCAGCGGTTTCCTTCGAAGCTCCAACCATTGCTCTCTTGGTTTTTGAGTCCTTGCTGAAAATCTGATCCTTCCTGCATTCAAGACTCTCCATTCAAGTCCAGTGAGAATGTGGACCAATGTCTTTGGCCTGAGGAGGATTCTCTCTGTAACAAAAGTAAAGTGTGGGAGTTCTCCAGGTCTCCACTAGGGGCAGATCTGCAGGTCCCTGTGAGCGGGAGGGCCCCTCACCACACTCCTCTCCCCTGGGGAGAAAGGTCTCCTCCACACATCCTCCAGCGCTGAGTCTGTTGGAGCGGCAGAGCTGCTGTTTGCACTGCGGGGGCCGATGCTAGATGGGTCCTTCGCTGTGGGCACTGTGATTACTCCTCTTGAGGCTTACACAGTTCAGCTGCTGGTTGAGTAAATGTGCAGTCTCATTGCCTACTGCTATAGCTACAGCAGGAGTACTGCTGCTGGTACAAGTGGAAGGAGGGACCACTGTCTCTATTCCATCGTGATGGAGCTCTGTCAATGTTAGTTCAATTTTAGTAAATTCACTGTCCGTGGACTGTGGTGTTTTGTCCATCCGTGAGGCCATCACTGCATTCTGGTACTGCTGCCGGGTAACCTTGAAAATACAAATAGATGTAAGGCTCATGTTAAAATACAACAATTTCACAAATATTTTGTCAATGATGAAGATGGTGGAAGAACACCATTAAATATGTGATCCAGATCATTAGTAGGGGGGTACCGGTACTACAATATCAATTTACTTATGTTTTTATGGTTGAATAATTGTTCTTATATCCAACCCTCTGCCCCTAAATGAAATAGAGGATTTAGATATTTTTAAACTAGTTTTATTCTTTTTTGACGTAACCCTTCCTTTTTTTTTCTTTGGGACGAGTCATCAAATGTATAACACTTTCTTCACTCTACATGTCCCTCTGGACTCATGTTGAAACAGTATTTAGTATTGTGCAGGTCTAGAACTCTCTGTATGTCCGGATAATGTCTCAAAATGTATTGAATTCTTTTTACTTAGTGTGAAGGTTGTTATAATGAAAGTCAATTGATAACAAACCTTATAACAAACCCCCCCAACGGGAGGGTTCATAATTATTAACTTGATGCCATCTGTAAGAGAGACAATTTGCAATAAAAACAACAAAAAACAGTGAGTGCTAAATGAGACAAATGATGTCCTTTGTGAGAGAAGACGTGTGTAATTGTTTGTTCTATGTGGAAAAGCTCCGGTAGAAACCAGAAACTTTTTAATACTTTTTTATTTGCTCAATGCTGAGAAAGCAATTCTCCAGAGTCATCAATACATTACTTTATACAGATTGAATTTTAAACAGTGAGAAGTAACGTAGTTTCCACAGTCCATGTAAACCTCTGGTTCCCTGTATCAACCATAAAATCTACAATAGGAAAAAAACAGCTAATTCTACCACAGACCTACAGTGCCTTGCGAAAGTATTCGCCCCCCTTGAACCTTTCAACATTTCGCCACATTTCAGTCTTCAAACATAAAGATATAACATTTTATTTTTTTGTCATCAATCAACAACAAGTGGGAACTTTTTTAACAAAAAAAAAAAACAAAAAACTTTTTTAACAAATAAAAAACTGAAAAGTGGGGCGTGCAATATTATTCGGCCCCTTTACTTTCAGTGCAGCAAACTCAGTCCAGAAGTTCAGTGAGGATCTTTGAATGATCCAATGTTGTCCTAAATGACTGATGATGATAAATAGAATGCACCTGTGTGTAATCAATTCTCCGTATAAATGCACCTGCTCTTTGATAGTCTCAGGGTTCTGTTTAAAGCGCAGAGAGAACCATGAAGACAAAGGAACACACCAGGCAGGTCCGAGATACTGTTGTGGAGAAGTTTAAAGCCGGATTTGGATACAAAAAGATTTCCCAAGCTTTAAACATCTCAAGGAGCACTGTGCAAGCAATTATATTGAAATGGAAGGAGTATCAGACCACTGCAAATCTACCAAGACCCGGCCGTCCCTCCAAACTTTCATCTCAAACAAGGAGAAGACTGATCAGAGATACAGCCAAGAGGCCCATGATCACTCTGGATGAACTGCAGATAACTACAGCTGAGGTGGGGATGGTGTGTTCAAGGTGATGAGCTGTGTTGCTTTTACGCCAAACATATCGTTTTGCATTGTGGCCAAAAAGTTCGAGTTTGGTTTCATCTGACCAGAGCATCTTCTTCCACATGTTTGGTGTGTCTCTCAGGTGGCTTGTGGCAAACTTTGAGAGACTTTTATTGGATATCTTTGAGAAATGGCCACTCTTCCATAAAGGCCAGATTTGTGCAGTGCACGACTGATTGTTGTCCTATGGACAGACTCTCCCACCTCAGCTGTAGTTATCTGCAGTTCATCCAGAGTAATCATGGGCCTCTTGGCTGCATCTCTGATCAGTCTTCTCCTTGTTTGAGATGAAAGTTTGGAGGGACGGCCGGGTCTTGGTAGATTTGCAGTGGTCTGATACTCCTTCCATTTCAATATAATTGCTTGCACAGTGCTCCTTGAGATGTTTAAAGCTTGGGAAATCTTTTTGTATCCAAATCCGGCTTTAAACTTCTCCACAACAGTATCTCGGACCTGCCTGGTGTGTTCCTTTGTCTTCATGGTTCTCTCTGCGCTTTAAACAGAACCCTGAGACTATCAAAGAGCAGGTGCATTTATACGGAGACTTGATTACACACAGGTGCATTCTATTTATCATCATCAGTCATTTAGGACAACATTGGATCATTCAAAGATCCTCACTGAACTTCTGGACTGAGTTTGCTGCACTGAAAGTAAAGGGGCCGAATTATATTGCACGCCCCACTTTTCAGTTTTTTATTATTAAATTATCCAATAAATTTCATTCCACTTCATGATTGTGTCCCACTTGTTGATTCATGACAAAAAATTATAATTTTATATCTTTGTTTGAAGACTGAAATGTGGCAAAATGTTGAAAGGTTCAAGGAGCCGAATACTTTCGCAAGGCACTGTATATTATTATGGTGTGATTTCTTGCTTTTACCTTAACGTACTGCAGGTCTGAGCGCGCTCGCACTGAGTAGTCCGGGATGTATATTTGTAGAAAAGAGTTGAGTTGGTTGTTGCTGCTGCCGAGAGTCGGTGTGATGGCATCGATCCGGTCGCCCCTGTTCAGAGAGTCTGAGTGGTTCAGTCCAAAGGGCCGTGGGGGGGATTTATTTTCTGTAAAATTATAATTCTATTTAAAACTCCTGTTGTACACTCCTTATCCTTAATTTACTGACTAAATGTTCTGTTAAATATATTACAAAGATTTTTTCCCCAAACAGTATTGCTGAGCAGCGACTGGAGCTAAGATTTGTTATGTCTGGAGTATACGTGCTGTGAAGCACCATTTTGTGGCAGTTCATTGACTTAAATCTTTAGTGGTGAGGTCAGGATTTAGATATTCCCCCTTTGATCTTTGGAAATATAATTTCTGTGGAGAATTTAGAGCGATTAAGGAACGTTATGGTGACATTCTCTCCCCTGATGCTGTTTCCTACCTCTGACCATATTACACAGAGCACTTATTTATATTTTTGCTTTTTGCTTTTTAATTAAAGCCAGATTATGTTTTCCACTTTCCACTAAATAATCCAAGTGAAAATCACACACAACAAAGTGGAAACAGCTTTGCCAACACTAATGCCACTACGCTGCCTGGAATGTATGTAATCCCATGTTGGACTACGTGTGCGCGTGTGTGCTTGTGTGTGCTTGTGTGTGCTTGTGTGTGCTTGTGTGTGTGTGTGTGTGTGTGTGTGTGTGTGTGTGTGTGTGTGTGTGTGTGTGTGTGTGTGTGTGTGTGTGTGGGTGTGTGTGTGTGTGTGGGTGTGTATGGGTGGGTGTGAGACATAGCGTGCGTGTGTGTGCATCGCAACAGGACAAAGGGCAAGTGACCTCTTGCAAATAAGTACTTGAGTCTCTTAGTTTTCCGAGGTTAGTGCAGAAACATGCAGATGGAGGATGTGATAGTGTCATGTCTGTTCCACATGTGTGTGCATGGGTGTCCAGCAGGGGGTGTCGGCCTTGTTTGTGCAGTGTAGGGTTAGAGGTGAGGGGCGATGGGGGTGGAGCGCTTTGGGGCCTCCAGTCTCCAGCTCTATTCAGGCTCTTGACTAATGGCAGCAGGGATGTGGGTGTACAGTCTTCAGTGTTTTATTGTCACTACTTTCTCACCTCTTCCCTGTTCATATACTGTACATGTTGCACACAACATTTGACTTTAACTCGTGATAACACAACAAGACACATCACTGTCAATCAATGAAATCAAATGTGTATTCACAGTTTGTGTGATTAGACAAATAACAGAGCTGCACAATGTAGTAAAACATAATAAAAGGCATTTGTACTTTTCATTAAATTCAGTAAATTACAAATACTAAAAAAAGTGCTTTCAGCTAGAAGCACCAAAAAAAATAACTAGTTTTTCAGGTAAATTAATCTTTCCCAATTTTACAGACTTTACCATTTCAAAATACGGAAATAAAAAAATATAACAATGTAAGTGAACAAGTTAAACAAATGTCATGTCATAAAATATTCAGAAAGTAAGTAAATACATTATGTAAATATGTTTTCTTGCTATATTGTGCAGCTCTGATTAGTTAAGAAGGAAGAGACAAAATCCACTTTACCTGGAGATCCAGCTAAAGACTCAGCCCTACTGACAACAAAAGTGCGAGACAGGGACAGAGGAACTAGACAGGAGAAACATGGACGTAAGGACAAATCAAAAGGTAATCAATTAGTTATATGATTAGAAGTATTTTGATATTTTCACAGTTAAAAAACAATTTTCCTCTTCACCAGTAGAGGTCTCCAAGATCATTTTTGATTGGTGTAACAGTCAGATAAACTTATGAATGAACTGAGAATCAAGCATGCAATATTCTCATGATGTCACTACAAAGGAAATTGTGTTCATGAAATAGAAACTATCATGATTGTGTTAAAGAAAATCTCTCATAAATCTGTACAAATATCACACAGGAAAGATCATGTATGAGCTTGTATACTGTGATGTTGTTTACTTAAAATGCATCAAATATTACTGTACATGGATTAACCTATATTATGTAGTAAAATCATTGTTTACAATAGTCAAAATAACCACTTAAACGCTTAGATGTGTGAGAATGAACAGAGGTGTTTGTGATATACTGTAGTGGTCTCACCTGGAGAAGAGCTCAAAGCCATCATCCCATAGAAGGAGAAAGGTCCAGCTTCAAACTTCATGCCTTCTTTTCCTGCCTCCACCTCCACTTTCCCCTAAGAATGCAAAAAACATTGTATTTAGTAAAGTACATTATGACCATGTTGGAAGTGTCTTCTATTATATTCAATAATAGACAAAGAACTGTTTTGTTTCACTAATAACTATTGTGCTATAACATAATAGATTTGATTCCAACTGCAGTACAATCATACCACGCATACCTCTACAGCACGCGTGGCCCCTGTGGGAACAAACATCTCTGTGAGATCGATGGCTTTACCATGAAACACAGCACGACTATGGAAAACAACAGCAGCGGCTGCAGCTGGGAAGGGTTTTGGCGAATCTGAGAGTAACAATGGACCCTTCCACACACACATGTGTGTGTTTAAAGTGCCATGTGTGTGCTTAAAGTGTTGTGTGTGTTTAAAGTGCTATGTGTGTGTTTAAAGTGCCGTGTGTGTGTTTAAAGTGTCGTGTGTGTTTAAAGTGCCATGTGTGTGTTTAAAGTGCCATGTGTGTGTTTAAAGTGTTGTGTGTGTTTAAAGTGTCATGTGTGTGTTTAAAGTGCCATGTGTGTGTTTCAAGTGCCATGTGTGTGTTTAAACTGTCATGTGTGTGTTTAAAGTGCCATGTGTGTGCTTAAAGTGTTGTGTGTGTTTAAAGTGCCATGTGTGTGTTTGAATGACACATAAAGTGATACGTGTGTTTAAAGTGCCATGTGTGTGTTTGAATGACACATAAAGTGATACGTGTGTTTAAAGTGCCATGTGTGTGTTTGAATGACACATAAAGTGATACGTGTGTGTTCTGATCGCGCAAAGTGCTGGAGGAGAGGCACCTGCAGGATGAGGATGAAGTGGTCCACTGGTTTGTTTCGGTGGTAGAGGTAGTGCTCTGCTGCGCGCTTGTTCTTGTCGTCGTACTTTAGCTCCTGGATGACGTTGGGGTGCTTCAACAAACGGAGGAGGATCTTTTCTGACATCTGCACGGCTGAGAAAGGCTCGACCTCTGCAAACACCAAACACCACTGTAAGCAACTCCACAAACACAATCAATACAACAAACAAATGCTCTGAGGAGACTACAGCCAAGTCAACACATCTGTGCAAGAACCACAGTACAGTAGTCTTCATACAGTACTACAGTACAGTAGTCTTCATACAGTACTACAGTACAGTAGTCTTCATACAGTACCACAGTACAGTAGTCTTCATACAGTACTACAGTCTTCATACAGTACTACAGTACAGTAGTCTTCATACAGTACCACAGTACAGTAGTCTTCATACAGTACCACAGTACAGTAGTCTTCATACAGTACTACAGTCTTCATACAGTACTACAGTACAGTAGTCTTCATACAGTACCACAGTACAGTAGTCTTCATACAGTACTACAGTACAGTAGTCTTCATACAGTACCACAGTACAGTACAGTACCACAGTGCAGTAGTCTTCATACAGTACTACAGTACAGTAGTCTTCATACAGTACTACAGTACAGTAGTCGTCATACAGTACCAAAGTACAGTAGGCAAGGCAAGGCAAGGCAAGTTTATTTGTATAGGACAATTCATACACAAGGCAACTCAAAGTGCTGAACAAGATGCATTAAAATCATAAATAATTACAGAACATTAAAACGAAAGATAAAAATATAAAATCCCTCAGTTGTATGCACAGCTAAACAGCACCGTTTTTAACCTGGTTTTAAACATTGTCAGAGAGGAGGCCTGTCTCACATCTTCAGGAAGATTGTTCCAGATTTTAGCAGCATGAATCTGAAAAGCAGCCTCCCCATGTTTAGTTCTGACTCTGGGCACTAACAGGAGTCCAGTCCCTGTGCTCCTCAGAGTCCAGGCTGGTTCATATGGGACTAACATGTCACTAATATATTTTGGTGCGAGGCCATGGAGAGACTTGTACACAAGCAGAGCTGTTTTAAAGTCTATTCTCTGAGCCACAGGAAGCCAGTGCAGGGACCTGAGGACTGGACTAATGTGGTCGTACTTCCTGGTTCTAGTCAGGACTCGAGCTGCTGCATTTTGAATGTACTGCAGCTGTTTTACAGCCTGTTTGGACAGACCTGTGAGCAGGCCATTGCAGTAGTCTAACCTACTGGAGACAAATGCATGGATAAGAATCTCCAGGTCTGCTTTAGACACTATGTTTTTGATCCTGGCAATGTTTTTTAGATGGTAAAAAGCTGCTGATGTGACTGATTTGATGTGGCTATTAAAATTTAAGCCTGAGTCCAGTATTACCCCTAGATTTCTGACCTTGTTTGAAGGTTTTAGGGAGAGAGACTGTAGATGACAGATGACGCTCTCTCTTTGTTTCTGGGGACCAAAGACAATCATTTCAGTTTTGTCTGCGTTTAGCTGAAGGAAGTTGTTTTGCATCCACTCACTGATCTGTTGGATACAGTGAAGGAGTGAGTCCACTGGTCCATGTTCTCCTGCAGTCAGTGAGACATAGATCTGAGTGTCGTCTGCATAGTTATGATAGGAAACTTTGTTTCTGCGTATTAACTGACCTAACGGCAGCATGTAGAGATTGAACAGAAGAGGTCCCAGGATCGACCCCTGTGGGACTCCACAGGTCAGGGCCATATGATCTGAGACACAGTTTCCAATCTCCACAAAGTACTTCCTGTCTTCAAGGTAAGACCTAAACCAACTTAGGGCGGAGCCAGTGACGCCAACCCAGTCCTCTAGTCTCTGTAAGAGGATCTCATGGTCGACAGTGTCAAAGGCAGCACTTAGATCTAACAGGATTAGGATTGAGACTTTGCCTGCGTCAGTGTTCAGCCGGATATCGTTTGTAACCTTGACGAGAGCAGTCTCAGTGCTGTGGTGGGGTCTAAAGCCGGACTGAAACATATCAAATGAGTTGTTGATTATAAGAAATCTAGTAAGCTGTAGGTAGACAACTTTTTCAAGGACTTTCCCCATAAATGGCAGATTTGAGATGGGACGATAGTTGTTAAGTACCGTAGCATCCAGACTGCTCTTTTTTAGCAGGGGCCTGATGACTGCAGTTTTCAGGGCCTTTGGGAATATTCCAGAATCAAGGGACATGTTTACTATCTGTGTGAGTGAAGGTAACAGACTGCTCAGAACAGACTTTAGAAATATAGTGGGTAGTACATCCAGGCTGCATGTGGAGGAGCTCAAACTGGAGATTATCTCTTGGACAGTTTGATCATTTACAGGTGCAAAGTAAGTTAGCTCAAAGAGCCTTTCTGGCTGTTGGATTGTTATCTGTGGATTGGGGACAATGGCGTTTTTGATGCCTTGAACCTTGTCATTGAAAAAATGTGCATACTCATTACATTTACGTTTGGAAGTAAGCTCTAATGGCATCTGAACAGGGGGGTTTGTTAATCTATTAACTGTTGAAAACAGAACACGCAGATTGTTGCTGCAGCCTTCAATCATTTCAGAAAAATACCTTTCTCTCGTACTACGTAGCACCTGGTTAAACTCGCACAACTTATCTTTGAAGATCTTGTAATCAACCTGGAGGTTGGACTTGCGCCACTTCCGCTCGGCCCTCCGGCACTTTTTCTTCAGTGCCCTGACCGAGTCTGCTTTAGCCCACGGCGCCTTCTGCTTATTTTTCACTATTTTAACCTTCACAGGAGCGATGGTATCCAGAACTTTCAAAACACTAGAGGTGACAGAGTTAAACAGTTCATCTACAGTAGAATACGATGCATTCTCAAAGTTTATCATTCCCATAAATAGTTCACTCGTATTTTCATTTATGTGTCTTCTTCGTACAGTTGCAGAGTCCACTGGTGGTTTGTTAGTGAAACACATGTCAAAAAATATACAAAAATTATCCGAAAGCGCAACATCGACCACGTTTACATTATAAATGTTCGCCCCCTTTGTAACTAACAGGTCTAGAGTGTGCCCTCTGCTGTGGGTGGGGGCACTCACATGCTGAGTGAGACCAAAAGATTCAAGAAGAGAACTCAGCTCTTTAGCATTTCTGTCATCAACATTATCCACATGAATATTAAAATCACCTGTAATAACTAAACTATCAAAATCTGTGCATACAACTGAAAGCAACTCCGTAAAATTATCAATAAATCTGTGACATGACTGCGGTGGCTTGTATAGGACAATGAAGAGTATTGGACTAGATTGTTTTTGTTGTATTTTAAAAGACACATATTCAAAAGACGGAAACTTCCCAAGAGACATTCTATGGGAGACAAAGTGGTCTCTGAAAATGGCAGCTAAGCCTCCTCCTTTTTTGTTTTCCCGTATTTCAGATTCAAATTTGAAATTTGGTGGTGATGCTTCTATTAAAACTGCATTTTCTGTATTTTGGTCAAGCCATGTTTCAGCCATGAACATAAGATCTAGATTATAAGAACAAATAAAATTATTGATTAAAAAGACTTGTTACAAAGAGATCTGACATTTAGCATAGCAAGTTTAAAAGTTTCAGGATCAGCGGTTGTGGTCGGCTGATTCTTACACGGAACAAGAATTAGATTTTCCTGATTAGACTGATTAACTTCAGATGTTTTTCTGTTATGTATTCTTTGTGTTATCACTAAAGGAATGGCACAGGTGGCTTCATGACAGGGCCCCAGCCGGGTCTCTCCTCTAACTAGACTGCCAGTGGCTGCGAAGCAAAGACCCTGTGCATCCTAGTGTTTAGAGAAAAGAGGGGAAGGGGAAGGCGGGGGAAGAGGATGGAGAGGCGGGTGGTTCTTGGGAGTTGGACGGGGAGGGGTTGAAGGTGGATGGGTTTTTGGTGATGGGTTAGGGGAGGGGTAGGCTGAGCTGGGTGGTGGACGAGGGGGGAGTGGAGGTGGAGGGTTTCTTGGTGCTGATTTAGGGGGGAGGGGGGCTAAATGAGCAGGAGGGGGGGGGGTGGAATACTTATGGGGTTAGAGGAGGGACGGGTGGATTTTGTGGGAGAATTTGAGTTAGACGCCCTAGGTGGCTTTGGAGGTACGTATGGGGAGTAGTTTTGAATGTTAGATAGGACTCTTGATCTGGCTACAGTGGGTGTGAGAGGAATAGTCTTCATCGCCGATCTTATCATGCCTGCAGAGTGTTCCGGTAAATCCAGTAGTGAAGGCGGGGATAGAAAACAAAGGGAAAGGTCGTCCTCATTTTCCCTAGATGGAGTGGATGTAGCGGGGGGGACCCAAGCCGGGTCCATGGAAGGTGATGAGGGAGTCTTTGGTGGAGACAGAGGTGGTTGAGGAACCCCCAGTACAGGCCTGACTGTAGCCTGGAGTAATGGGGGAAGCTTCACGGGAGCTGTAGGTGGGGAAGGTGCTGCTGAAGATGATGGAGCAGCCACTGCTGCTGCTGTATCCACTGCTGCTGCTGAAGATGATGGAGCAGCCACTGCTGCTGCTGAAGATGATGGAGCAGCCACTGCTGCTGCTGTATCCACTGCTGCTGATGGTGCTGTATATGCTGATGGCGCTGATGAAGATATGGCAGCTGCTGATGATGCTGGGGGTGGAGGCGTTGAGCTCTTTCGGAGCCGTGGAGGTGTTGAGTTCTTTTGGAACCTTGGAGGTGTTGAGTTCTTCTTGAATCGTGGAGGTGTGGAGTTCTTTTGAGGCGGTGGGGGTGCAGAGACCTCAGGAGTTGGTGGAGATGGTCGTGATGTCTGTGCCCTTTGCTTCTTCTTTCTCCCTTTCAACGGCTGCACGCGCTGCGCAGGCTGAGGTCTTAGGGCAGATGCAAAGTTATCCATCAACACTTTTACTCCGTAGTTGTTCAGATGTGGACCTTTTTCTTCAAAAAGCTCGTGCCTATTCCAGAACAGATTAAAGTTTTCAATGAAGCCAAGTCCTCTGCGTGAACACTCATTGAGTAGGAATGTATTTAGCTGATACAGACGGCTAAACTTCTCCATTTTTCCATCTATATTTGGAAGTGGGCCACTAAGAAAAAATGTTATGTCCATTTTTTTGAGGTCATCCAGTAACAGCGTTAAATCCATTCGTAACTTCTTGCTTGCCTTCTCATAGATATCTACCGCCCCTGTGTGGATCAATAATGTACGCACACCACTGTTCTCAGATAACACTTTAGGCAGAAGAGTCCTTATCTCAGCAACTTTTGCAGAGTGAACTGAGACAGTGAGCATGGACTCCATGTTTACATTTTTCACCGAACCATCTCCGATAAGGACACAGTTTGTCCTTGGTGGAGGCGCTGCAGTTTTTTGCGGCTTTGTTGTTTCAGAAAGGGGTAAAAAGCGGTTTGAAGTCTTCAGAACATTTAGTTGTGGCCTTATTTCACTCCTATTGTCATTCTTAGCTTTGTCAACTTTGGGTTTAGCTCCACAATTGTTCCCATAATTCTCATTGTTGATTTTGGGAAAAGAAATGACGTCATAACTTACATTTCCAGTCTGTCCATTCATCCCATTTTCACTCATTGGAAGAGTCGGGTTTAGTCCCATTTCTGTTTCCACAATAGATATCCGTGTTTGAAGAGATTTGAGCTGATTTTCCAGAGCACAACAGCCGCCGCAGACGCTTCTCCGTCTCTTTCGTCCCGACATGACTAAAGTTGATAAATTCCACAAAGCTGAAGTGTGTAGAAGGAGTAATCCTCGTTTTGTAAATAAAATGATTAAAGGAGAAACAAAAAATGTAAATAAAATGATTCAAGGAGATTAAAAGGCGAAGCAAAAGCAGAGCAGAGCAGAGAGACACGACTGCTCTCTCCAGAAGCAGGAAGCACACAGTACAGTACCACAGTGCAGTAGTCTTCATACAGTACCACAGTACAGTAGTCTTCATATAGTACTACAGCACAGTAGTCTTCGTAGTCTTCATACAGTACTACAGTACAGTAGTCTTCATACAGTACCACAGTACAGTAGTCTTCATACAGTACTACAGTACAGTAGTCTTCATACAGTACCAAAGTACAGTACAGTACCACAGTGCAGTAGTCTTCATACAGTACCACAGTACAGTAGTCTTCATACAGTACTACAGCACAGTAGTCTTCATAGTCTTCATACAGTACTACAGTACAGTAGTCTTCATACAGTACCACAGTACAGTAGTCTTCATACAGTACTACAGTACAGTAGTCTTCATACAGTACTACAGTCTTCATACAGTACTACAGTACAGTAGTCTTCATAAAGTACCACAGTACAGTAGTCTTCATACAGTACTACAGTACAGTAGTCTTCATACAGTACTACAGTACAGTAGTCTTCATACAGTACCACAGTACAGTACAGTACCAGAGTGCAGTAGTCTTCATACAGTACTACAGTACAGTAGTCTTCATACAGTACCACAGTACAGTACAGTACCACAGTGCAGTAGTCTTCATACAGTACTACAGTACAGTAGTCTTCATACAGTACCACAGTACAGTACCACAGTGCAGTAGTCTTCATACAGTACCACAGTACAGTAGTCTTCATACAGTACTACAGTACAGTAGTCTTCATACAGTACCACAGTACAGTACAGTACCACAGTACAGTAGTCTTCATACAGTACCACAGTACAGTAGTCTTCATACAGTACCACAGTGCAGTAGTCTTCATACAGTACCACAGTGCAGTAGTCTTCATACAGTACTACAGTACAGTAGTCTTCGTAGTCTTCATAAAGTACTACAGTACAGTAGTCTTCATACAGTACTACAGTACAGTAGTCTTCGTAGTCTTCATACAGTACTACAGTACAGTAGTCTTCATACAGTACCACAGTACAGTAGTCTTCATACAGTACCACAGTACAGTAGTCTTCATACAGTACCATAGTACAGTAGTCTTCTTACAGTACTACAGTACAGTAGTCTTCTTACAGTACTACAGTACAGTAGTCTTCGTAGTCTTCATACAGTACTACAGTACAGTAGTCTTCATACAGTACCATAGTACAGTAGTCTTCATACAGTACTACAGTACAGTAGTCTTCATACAGTACCACAGTACAGTAGTCTTCATACAGTACCATAGTACAGTAGTCTTCTCACAGTACTACAGTACAGTAGTCTTCTTACAGTACAGTCATAATAGATCCATGATTACAGTACATGCTCAAATAAACTACACAATGAGATGAATGAATAAACAAACATGAGGCTTTTAGAAAGAGCAGGATGTCTGACAGAACTGTAGGATAAAGAGAAACTGTCCGCTTTTAACTTTAGTGTCATTAGTCTAGTCGGTTTGATTTAAATGATTTATTCAAAGACATAGATCATTGCACCAGTGATTTTAGCAGAATCAGTAATAACAGCACAACTCTGAGAATGTGGGAGATTTTTTTCCCCTGAATGTTTCGAGGCTACAAAAGAGATGTTATAGGTAATGAGGAGGTAAGTGCCCCTGTCTCACCCGACAATCTCCCTAAAGGAACACAATGCTTAGCTGCTCAGTCTCGGCCAGACATGTCGGACTCAGGCTCGAGGGCCAAATCTGAACAGACAATTTTTAGTGGCCCCTGAAATTATTCTCTTTTCCAGTGTGAGATCAATAAAGTCTATCTTATGTTATCTTACTAACTTGGAGCTGTAATTGTTTCTTTGATGCTAGAGTTAGAGATTTTAATTTATTTTAATTAGTATAGTAATTGTTCTTTTATCTTGTGCTGTGTGCTCCTCATTCCTACTGTTCTGTAACTTGTAATGCAACACTGAAATTTCCCTACTGTGGGACGAATCAAGGATCTCTTAATCTGATGGTTATGGGCTACAGAGGCATGTACAAATATTAACGCAACACATCATTAGAAGTTAAATAGTTAAACACAAAACAATTTGCTTAACTTTATATTTGGTCCAGTTTTGGTTCAATCTAAACAATAAACACATAAATACCAGAAAGTATTAGTGAAACTCATGTCACATATCGTACCATATACGTCAAAATACCTTCATAATGAAACAAGAATTACAAGAAAAGGATCTATTCTATTCTTTCAGCCTCCAATCAGTTCCTATTTTTCTTATTCTGCCGCTGACCAAAGGAGTTTGACTTGGTTGTGCTGTTGTAGTATTATAGCTATATTGTTAAACACAGATCATAAGTGTTTGTTTTTAGGATTAAATATAGTACGATTAAAGTAGATTCATGCGATTGCGTAACGTGTTTGAACGGTTGAATGTTGCCGCTGTTCTTTCGGTTCAGGCAGATGTCCCGTGTCAGCGCTCACACAAAGATGCATACCAACTTCACACAACAAACCACAGATAGTCATTCTACACACATCGTCACTCCTCTCTCCTCCCCCTGGTCTCAAACTCAAACACTCGCACACTCGCAGTCCCTTCGCGGAGGGGCTGAGGGCACACAGGGGGAAGTCAAGCAGCAACGCAGCCCACTTGCCTGTTGCCAGGAAACGCAGGGTAGCAAGCAGAAGTTGAGGTGATATTTTAACCTTCATTTCATTGTCAGTGGGCTTAAAGGCCGAGAAATCTTGCTTTCTCTCACGATGAGTAATCTTCTTCTTTGTTTTGTTGTCAGCTGGAAAGAGAATCAAAAATTAGACAGAGCAAAACATCTTGGTAAACTGACGGAGACATTGAGCATGAAGTCATGAAGTGACTTAAAGAAGCATTATGTAATATTTTCATGTCACGTCCTCATTAAATGGCCAAAATATGTCAAAAGGCATTAATAAACCATGCTCTTTTCCAACACTTCTTTGACTGATCACAGTAGTTCAGCCGAGATATTTGAATTCAAAATGAGTTTTACAGCGCCTATGTTATTGTTTTCATTTCGATGTCCCGCCCTCCACTGTTTTACCGATCAGAAAGTCTGTGATCCGGGTTGCCAGAACTCACTGCGTGGATCTAATGGTGAGGTAACATGTGGCTGCAGACCTAAAAAAGGTTTTGTTCTGATTCTCAAATAGAACGAGGATTTCTATCGGGGCCTTTGTGGAAAAGGTGTTGGTTATAGATTTGTCAGATATTATGGTCCCAGCTGGATTTGTCTGCATATCTGGCAACCCGAGGCAGGGAGAGTGGGAGAGGTTGCAGCACTACTTTCGGCCAGATTTTTACATACTGCTCCTTTAAGTAACCCATAATCTTGTTCTCATGAAGCTTAGCACTGGGGTTTCTCTTAATAATAAATAAGGGCTACAGAGGTTTTCATGTTTGCATCATTAACATTACTTTAAACTTAAAAAAACAAAACAATCACTAGCTGTCCTAGATGCTTCATACAAATACATACAAATTCATAACAATAAAAGGCACAGAGATACACAAAGATAAAATATAAATGTAATTGTGTTTTCTTGTGGGGTTTTGGCTCAAACAATAACACACATCAACCTGTAATGCTGCTTCAAGGCTATCGACGAGTCAATCGCGACAAAATAGCAATATCAAAATAGAAGCATGGCTAACCTGTTCAACTGTAGTATAATACACTTCACATTCTCATGATTTCACATTTCATTGAAAAAAAGTTGTAAAGAAGTCTTGCCTGCTGCTTTGAACCCAAAAGATTGACAAATGTTGTATTTCCAAACCCTGAGTAGTTAATGATGAGAAAACCTACTGTATAAGTCAGTCTCGTCGAGGATCTCTGACTTGATGATTTCTTCGATCACATCCTCCAGTGTCACTATCCCCAGGACTTCGTAGAAAGGGTCTCCTTCTCCTTCGTTGTTCACCCTCTGAACAATGGCAAGGTGGGACTTTCCTGGTAAAACATTTAAAAAAGAAAAATACAATATCTGTTTACAAGTATTCTTTATTGATCAACAAATGACATTTCCTTGATTCTAATGTCTGGTTTAGGTGCGACCTGAGCTGATATTCACTATGATTTTGTGTTGGTTTTGAGTTCCCGCACTCATTTCACTGGATTGTACTTGTACTTTTGAATTCTTTATTGATTTCTCTCTTTGGGACAAACTAGTAACAATAATTAAATAAATGTAACCAACATATAATCCACACTTTGTTGAAAATATAGTGAGATGAAATGCTAAACAAATGATTTGCCTTTTCTCAGCTTGTGATCATTTAAAAGGAATTTTCCAGAGGCACAAGCTAATATTAGCCCCAAAATGAAGTTTCCACTCTGCCCCAAAATTATTCTCCCAGAGAGAAGGCGCAGCGCGGCTGAAGCCTCCTCCGTGTGATCAGATTGTCTTGAATGGGTCATTTGCATGCAGAAACACCACAGTGTAAATAGCTGAGGCTGTCCAGAGAGTGTGCATGGGAGTGCATGATTAATTTGTGTTTTGGAAAATGCATGGCTTGGCTGTTTCAGCGCAGGAGTGAAACACAGACCAAGAGAAATGGTTGATTGTACTGCAGCACTATGACAACAGTGTGCTGATGTAGATGCTTTATGCAGAGACACCGGACATGCGGTGTTTGGTTTTCTAAAACCACTTCACACCACACCAACCTTAATTAAACAATCTGTCAATTGTTTGCTATTGCTGCGGACAACATTTTGAAGGTAAATGTGCTGCTTCACATCATGTCCTGTGGGGTGGGGAGTAAGTGTTACAAAGATAGTTGCAATTCCTGGCAACATCTTGAAGACATAACAGAATTGCATCACACAGCGGTCAACCCCAGTTTATGTTCCGGTAACACTGACATGTTTTCTATGTTTCTTTATCACAGGGGCTGGTCTATACTAGCCTTGATATTCAGGCAATCAGAGGTCCTTGAGTCAGCAGCAAATACCCCAAACAGCAGAATGAAGAGGAAGTAGAGCACACGGATCAATGACTCTTCATGTGACGACAAGCGCTCACAAACAACATGCATTTAAGAAGATAGAGACTCTAAAATACTATACAACACAAACTAAGTAATAATCCACAAGTTAATCAGGGTCAGTCATAAACAGTCACCTTTTTGACACAAAGCTGCTTGACCCCCATTCTTTAAGCTAACGGCCTGATAAGATGTGGGACATCACAGAGAGCTCTACAGCCCTTGTGTCTGCAGACACTTACATGTGCTCGAGCTGCGTCAAGCTGCAGTTTGTCGACCTCAACAATCATTTCACTTTTTATGCAATGAAGATAAGCTCATATGGGAGTCATCAGTGATAAGTACCCTCTGTGTAACAACAATATAAGGATGTTGGCATAAATTAAGTTGGATTAAATAACCTGATGTATTAATATTTCTTTAGGAAATATTTTGGCCAGTTGGATAATGCTTGTTGGTGATGTCTGTATAATGATGATTCACTAAACACATTCTACCACAACAAAGGGAATTTCACATCTTTGTTTGCGTCAAACGTTAAAACATTAAAACGTAAGTGTCCACACCTTTTTTTGTAAAACGGCCACTTTAGTTCACCAGACTTGTACTGGGGCCGACAAATCAACTGTTTGAACTGGATTTGGGCTGTTCTCAGGCATAGATTTGTATTATACGGTACTGAAGTTGGCTGAATGATCACCTGCTGCAGTGATCACCTGCTTACATTTATATAATTGTGTGCCATGATCACGAGAGGTTCAACATGTCTATAATGGCAGAGCTGAAGTTGGCTGGATGACACTGAACATGTGAAGATGATCCCAGCGGCTGCTGTGGTTTAGCACGACTGAAGGCCACATACAGTGACAATGAGGGCAGCATTTAGGCCACAGGACAGACTTTGGACATGCCTGCATAAAACCACTGCATTACTACATGAACAGTTCACAACAATCCATAGAAGGAAGCCATTATAGAGGTGGGTTTAATGGGGGCCACAGCGGGACAGGGGTTTGTCCCTATAGAGCCTTGGCACAGGATCCCAGAGAGAGGATGTCCTTTGAAGGCCTGTGGTCCAGGGCCTATAAGCAGTGCCTGACATCTGGACTGTCTAGCTGGGCTCATGTGGATGCATGCTGGGTAATCTCGCTCCGCAGCCCATGACACGCATCACAGGTCCAATTCACTCACAGTTCATTTCAATGAAATTATATACCCCTGAAAAAGTTAGACTCTATAATAATCCTTTTTTCTATTGTACGTGTCAAAACATCATCAGGTGATTCACCCATGAACAACAGGAAATCAAAAACAAAAAGTCTACAATAACAACATTAAACAACACAATTTCTACAAATATTTTCACTCCACAACAAATAGGTTGAACAAATGTGAATTTGTCTGAAATCTCTGCTCTTCAGACACATCAGATTTTATAGTGAACAGTTCATGTCCAGGGTCACCAGACTGGAAGCAGTTTATCTGTCTATCTCTGCACGTCTCCCACCCAGGCCTGAGAACCTTCAGTTGAGCCATCAGGCTGATCTTTTCCAACATTCCCAGCTTATTTATGGAATGTAGCGTTGTCTTAATTTGCCACAGTGTAATTTGACCCTAAAATAGTGGCATATAGCAGGAGTGTAAGGGGTCATATCTGTTGTGGACCCTCATCCCGGTCTTCCTCCCCTCCCATTTTTCCAAATATTTCAGCACAGACAAATATAGCGCAATGTTAGGGTGATGGGAACCGATCAGTTATTTTAAATCTACAACTTGTGAAAAAATGCACATTTTCCAGTCATTTGACCCATTATTCCATTGGCTACACCAGTGTGACGGAGAATGAACTTAACCAACCATTTTTATCCTATCAAACCAATAAATCAGTTAGTAATAAATCCAGTTCCTCAAACATGAAAGAGTCCTTAACAGACATGACTTATCTCAATGATGACTGCTGTGACATCATTAATGAAAGGTGAGTTGTATTATTACATTTCACATTGCTTAACTGATTGCCTAGAATAATCCAAGGCTATTGTGATTTGATACAAAATAAACCAGGTCATAAGTGTGGCCCCAGGTCGTGCCTTTGATACTAGGAAATACATTGTTACCGTAATAAATCCCCTCTCTCACCGCTCCTTCTCGTCACAAGATTCCTCTGCAATTCCTGGTGCACTACACACAATCAGAGAATGACATTGTTGCTCATTGAGAGAAGCGGCTGCGTTTGTTATTGCACGGCCCCCGGGTGGAGATTCCTCTCGGCCTCAGTCATAAGGAACAGCGTCAATGGGACAACAGTGGGAAAAGTGAATGGACCTGGGCTACAGTAACTGTAGGATGAGGGCATTGGGGAGGGCCATGAGCATTTAGCAGGTCCAACTTGACTTCAGATTTTAATCAAAGGTGGAACTGAAAAGTATTTGAATATAAAAACTACATTATAATAATGTGCTTCCTATTTAAAGACCTTATGCCGGGGTTTTTTTTTTTTTTTTAATTGTGGATATTAAAATTGCATGACAATGTCAATCTGAAATAGATTCCGGCAAAAAAAAATCCTATATTTTATAAAAAGAATGTGTTTTTCATGAATTTAAGTTGTCTATGCTCTAACCTGTGTGTGACGTCATAGCGGGTTACGCCCATGCATTGAAAACCATGGATCTATGCCACAGGACTACCTTTTCTCTCTTCTCTCCACTGATGCCCAACACAATACTGCACTCTACAGGTGACAATTGCTCACTACACGTAAATTGCCGTTTGAGTGTGAAAAAGTGTCTGAGGTGGGAATTGAACCCAAGTATCTGGATGGTCAGTCCATCGACACAACCACTGGACTATCTCAGCGCCAACAAAGTGTCACAATCTAGTAGTAATCTCACACTCGCTGTACACGGCCTTGTCATCTTGAATATCCGCGAAAAAAGAACGAATACCAAATTGTAAACAACTTACAGCGTTGAAACGTACCTACTCTGACGTCACCAAGGGCTGTGAAGTTTTTTCGTTTCTAAGGGCGTTGCTATGGGGTTATTTCGATTTGGGGGGATCAGACAAAAAAACAACAACTGATTTTGAAACCTTTAATAGTTCTCTTCTAATATAAAATGGTATTAAAACTGTATTTCTAAATAAATCAAACCCGGCATAAGGTCTTTAAGTATGGATTTCAAAGTTAAAACAAAACATATCTGGTGGGGGCATATCTGGGGCAGGTGATATGTGTACTGGGTGCAGCTCTAACTGTAGGTCCATTGAGCCGTTGGAAAAATAAAATTAAAATTGTATTTTTTTATTTCACTAATTTTTGAACTTTATAATAATTATCTTAATTTACTTTGTCATTCTCCTGTTTGGAAAAAAAATTGTGAATATCTTTTTGATAATAATAATGACTGCCCCGGAAAAGCCATGTTCCAGCTTCTTCCCTCTGGCAGGAGATATAGTTCGCTGAGATGCAGGACATCTCGTTTTGCAAACAGTTTCTTTCCACAAGCTGTTTCACTTTATACAAAGCCCTTTAAATGATCTTGCACTTGTTAAGATTGTTTTAGTCGATCGATTTCACAGTGTCAATTGTTTCCTGTTTTGTTGATTTTATTTCTGTACTTTTAACCTTGTTTTATTGATGTACTCGTCTTGTGCACACTGGGGACTTTGTATTCCAATGTGGTTTTACTGCAAATGGCAAATAAATGATTCAGAATATGATTTAATTTTGTCTTTGGGGGTTTGGTTCCCGAGGACACAGTCTGGTAAAAATATGGCCCTTTGACAAATATCGTTGATAACCCCTGGTCTATTGAGATATAATGAATGCAAATTGACTAATAAGAGTGCCTCGTTCTTGTATTTTTATACAACAAATATTATTTGTGAAAACATATACATAAAAATGACACAAATGCATGAGATGAGGTAAAAACTAACTTTCCACACAGAAAAAACTGGATATCTGTAACCCAGTTTTCCTTCCCTTCTCCTTTTCAAATTGAGCTTAATCCAGCATTATGCAATAACCTCAAAAACCCAGCCTAAATCATAATTAGCATTTTAGCTAATTATCACAGAATAAACCCGCCTGCCATGCCCTTCACAGAAAACACAAACAGATGTGACAATCATATGAAAGCCAAAAAGCACAGGGATAACTATCTGTAGTTGTATCTCGCTGTTAAGACTAACATATGTTTTCAGTGTTTAACTTTGCAAAGAAACATTATCAGAATAATTCACTAAAATACGAAATTAACATGAATAATATGAAACTATCCAGTAAATTTGGACCTAGAGCTTTGGAATCTCACCCAGACATTGATGACAAGGAATAACTATAATATTTATTTGAAGTCGCTTTCACTGTGCTGTTCTCACTCTATAACTAACTCTTTAAGGATCACCCTCCCTATACAGGGAGGATTAAGATATTTTTCATTTAAAAATCACAAACAAGATTTTCTGATCTTTCCAATGGTACATCAAGCATTTATGACAAAGTATGCACTTTGAACTGAGGTTTTTACCTGAGTTTCTTGATGGGAATGTTTCTTTCACATGTTATTTATAATGTATGTGGAAAATTTACCCAGATCCTTTACAAATCTCATTGTTGTTTAAAGGTATATAGGAGGATGTTCCAAAATGTTAGGAAAGAAACTATTTGAACAAAACTCTCTAGTCATATTTGACGAGCACCAGAATGATTGACAATTGGGAGGACCAATAGTTTTGATGATCCCCCCCGGAAGTAGAAAATCCTCCAATATACCTTTAACTTTTTAACTTACTTTACTGAACCAAAGGGGAAATTACTTGGTTCAGTTTCTCAAATATTACAAATACAAATAAAAGAATAGCATCAAAAAGATATTATTAAAACATATTGTTTAATTAGCCAACTTTCATAAAAACTGTTTTACATGTTCCTAAATGTATGTTGATATTAGTTTAATTTTACAGCAGGTCTTCTTTAAAAGGTTCTCAGAATGCATTTCTATGAACACACTGAACTTGGAGAGCGCATACTCCGCCAAGGCCACAGATTGTCACAAAATGTAAATGGGGTCTCACCATCACATCCCATTCACAGACCATTTCAGTTCAATCCAGTGTCCTCTCCTCTCTACAGACAAAGAGACATACACTCAAGAACCATTTTGTCAATTTAAATAGAAGATCTCATTGCAAAATGATCTCAAATACATAAGTTGACCAAATGCTGAAGCTGTAGATGGCACTCTAAATACAAAAGGAGAAAAGGAGTGTTTTTGTTTTTATG